CCTTTCCCTGTCCCCAAGTAATCCCTTTTTTTGCCTTACACATTCTAAATTTTTGGCTCATAACCACTCGTCTCTCCTGCCTACTGAAACCACTCCTCCCAGGCTCCCCTGTACCATCACCAGTCCCCTAATGAGGGTACAATATTATTTGAGCTCTTAAGCAGCTTCAGGTCTTATAAACGAAGTTTTATATTACTTTTGGTTGCTGACATCAGTAAGTGTTTCAAAATACATTAGCCATCACTCAAAAAAACCCCAAACCCACAACAAACCACAACCAAAAAATAAAAAAAAAAAGCTTAACTTTGGCTGGTTCGTGCACAGCTCTGCAAATAGAGCCAGAGCCAGTCAAAATAGCAGAGACTAAACATGGCCTGTTACCTTGGGCGACACAGCTGACTGAGCCCTGTTCATCACCCTCACTGCAAATTTGTTTCTCAGCTAACCTCTGGAGGATCTTCCCAGGTCTCATTTCCTGGAACCCAATAGCTCACCTGGTCCCCATGGTGTCCACGCTGCAGAAGCTATTTCATCCATCACTACTGGCTTGTGGGCTGCACCGTCTTGCCCCTGTTTGGCACCATCTCAGCAAAAAGAGGTCCTCTTTAGTTTTAGTTTTTTAGATACCAGGCGTTGGGAGCATCCACTCACCCAGAAGACGGCTTCATCTGCTGCACTGGCTAAGGCTGAGCTCCGCAAATGGCCAGTTACACCAATTCCTGCTTGTCACTAACAAACGATGACTTTTTTTGAGGTCACCAAGTTCTAAAAGTATTCACACATACTCTTAATTTTAATAGCAAAGGCATTTACTGACTATGTAACGCCCCTCCTCAACAATATATATTAATAATTTATAATTAAAGTTCTAATCATAAGTACTTGGTAAGTCTTTAACAGCTGCTTTAGTAAGTGCTTAATCATTACAGGTCTTTACAGAGCTCAGTAGCGTGATAAGTTTCTTATATTTCTCCACCTCTACCAGTGTGTTCATAAACAGCTATAAAGCAAAAAGTGTTCAACATCTTAAATAACTTTTTCTAGAACCAAGATACATCAGTCTAGCGCACAATGCAAACTGTGATTAAGCTGAAATTCTTGTTCCCATTTCATTCTTCCCCAAAAAACAAGAGGGAGAACATTTCAGGACAGCAAGAAATTATTTTCTATCTTATTTCAGAAAGCCAAGAAATTAATTACCCAACTCTGTTCCTGATAGCCTACAGACAGTTTCAACCTGAAGCTGATGCTGAGTACTTGCTACAGAAAACAGCTGATATGAAAAGCAGCAAAAAGTCTTAAGCCATATGGGCACAGGGTTGAGGGCTGCATGGGCAAAACAAAGCCACAAGAGCTGCATCAGCTTTTGGGGGTTGTCCTCTCATCAGATGGCCAATGCCACCATGCCAATACATTGGCCAATTCTCAAGCAGTGTGATCAGTCAAGGACAGTTTCCTATGAGTGGTGAAGACAATGTTTTGTTTGGGTGGCTCTGCTATGACTGCTCTTACAGGTTCACGAGGTTGAATTAAAATTAATTTGCAAAGTCAACCACAAATTAGCTTTTTTTTCCACCTCAAACACACGCAGATGTTTGAAAGAGTCTCCCTGTTACACCAGGTGGGTTTTGCTTCCTTTCTGCAAATGGGGAAGCAACAACATGGCCTACAATAGGCTAAAACCCACCAGCAGGTTCACTTGAAGAAGCCACAACAGACTCCAACTACTCCAAAAACCAGCCTGGAGATAATGTTCAGCGAGTAGCTCCATCCACCAGCCACTGCCTCTCCTAGGAGTAACACTAGGGCACCTAATCCAAGCCAAAGGTTTTGTTACCTTCAAACAGCTCCATATAAACCCTGAACTGTAGCATCCAAGGGAGCATAAGAAAGATTAAATGTAGCCCATCAAATGCTGCAGGGGTGCAAAGCAGTGGGTTTCCCACCACCTGCTCCAGTTTTGAGAAGTATCTGTCAATCCTTCTTGCCAGCTACAGATGATCCTTCCTGCCTCGAAACCCACTCTGCAAAATATTGATTTCTGCAGAATAAAAGAACCTTTAGCACAAATGGGATTGCCACCGGTCACTTGTGGGAGGAACTGCCACACACAGCAAAAGCAGGAGGCCAAGAGGAAGGAGTATAAAGACTTTGCTTGGTTGCATATTTTGGAATACTTTGCAGCTACCCTGCCTCTGCCACCAGCTATGCATTGGCCTCAGGGCAAGGCTGGAGGCACTCAGGGGTCACAGAAAGCAGCTGAGACATGCAAGTCCACTACTGGCACGGTCATCCCTTCATTGGGTTAAAAACGGGGTGGGGGGGTGGGGGGTGTTGTTTGAAATCAAACCCACATATACAAATGCTGCAATGTGTGCTTCCTCATCTCTGTAAAGCTCCTACTAAAGGCAAGTGGAAAGGAAGCAGCTTTCTTATGTCACCCATTTCAAGTTTTTATATTTAAACTGATACACAACTAACTCAAGTTTTGCAAGGGAAAAAAAAAAAAACAGCAAACCAACCAAACAAAAAAACAACACAAACCCAAAAGCCCTAAGGGGCGCTCTCAGAGAAACAGATGACACAGGGGGAAAACAGGATTCTCTTCCCTGTTTCCAGCCACAAAGTCCTTCTCTTCCCCCCATTTTTCACAGACAACTCATTTATAGCTCTAATAATTCTCAACTGAACCAGCAGAAGTTGCTCCTACCGACACTAAAGACCCGCAGATCATTGGGAGGAAACCAGCGGGGTTGGGACCAGCCTCGCACTGACGGGGATGTTTCCAATTTGGTGCCATTTCCATCCCCATCCTGCCACCTTGTCCTGCCCCACCACTGCTCACCCACACAATTATGCCACCCCATCCTTTTGCCTTGCCAAAACGTGCAATTCAGAAGACAGACGCCAATGGAGGGGCTCTTTTGGCATCTGCAGTTCAGCTGTTTGCATCCCCCACCCCCTTTTTTTTTTCCCCACCTCTCTTTTTTGTGAATGTCAAATACAGGAGCAGATGCTCCAGGCTGATGGGAGCTGGCTGGGAGAGTGCTTCTGGCTGGAGGGCAGACAAGAGGGAGGCAGGACAAAGCTGATAACTATGGCCCCTCTCTATTAAGGATGAACCTTTAATCCTTTTATTCACCCTCCTGCTACCTATGGCTTTTTCTGGCTGCCTCTAAAAGAAACTTTTCTTTTTTTTTTCTCTTTTAAATAATAATCAGCTCATTGTAGGCAGTGGCACTGGGTCAGCCTAAAGCCTGCCCAGAACACTTTCACTGGAGTTTTAAAAGAAAAGGGCAAAGCCACAAGCATCATTAGCGCCACAATTCTGCTTCTTACATCCAAATAAGAAGACAAAAAGGCGAGTGTAACACAGAAAGGAGACCAGGAGTAAGACAGGACTAAAGGAAGGCACTTGCTGCAAGTACCTTTGTTTACGCCTTTGACAAAAGAAACCTCATAAATTTTGGAAGAGGCTGCAGCATTAACAAGCAGTTAAATTTCTCCTCTTCCACTTCTCAACATTGAAATGACTATTTTTCTTGGCCTATTACCCTGTTTTAAGCTGAAGGGGGACAGTTTGTATGAGTCCCTATTTGGATCAAATAACTTCAAGATCAAATAATTTCAAGAAAATAAAAGTAAATACCCTAAACTGACACGAGGTCTGGACTAATTCTTGCTGTGGTACCACCAGAGCCAAGAGAAGTCAAAGGTTTCACTGGGAACTGGACGGGACCAGAGTGAAACACGCCATTGCCCACAAAACACATAAGAAAGAAACAGCTGTGAGATTAGAAGAATATTAGAAATAACCAACAAATCACAGACTACTGAGCCACCACCGTGTCTTCACCAAACCATCTGCACCAAAATACTGCTAGAATAAATCCTACATTTAACATCCATTCAGACAATGTATTTTTACACTGATTCCATTAGGTATCGAGTTAGTAAAAAGCATTACATCATTTCAAAATAAGAAGGCAAATCATATATTATATATGTACATGTTTTAATTAATTTTAAAAATGGTCTACATTTAAGGATAGATTTCAAGGGTTTCCTTATATTTTTTTCTGTTACATTAGATTATACCTGAATAATCTGCATAGTAACTTTAACATTTCTGTTATCTTTTTTTTCTTTTTTTGTTTCGTTGTGAAAATACCAGTTGCAGGTAGCAATGTAACATCTGAACAACAATCACAAGACGTGCAGGATGTCCAGCCAGAAGCATTTCTCAGTTGACTTGCAGTAGCATGGCACTTTATAATTTGTGTATCAATACTCTTTTTTTTTTTTAATTATTTTTTAAACTTTCAGATGTGGCTCAAGAAGCAAAAACAAATTTTCTTCACTTAGCCTCAAGCATGGGGTCAGCTCCTCAGCTGGCTGTGATCTGCTGCACTGGAGTTACTCCAGTTTATACCAGCCTGAGGTTGTGGCATTTGTTTTTTTTCAAAACACACCTGTATTGTCTTCATGCTTTCCTTAACTTGAGTGCAAATTCAGGAATGTGGTTTGAGTCCCTTTGTTAGAGGACCTTAATGAAGTCTGTCTAATGGCTCTGTCCCCTAGCCCTGCTCCCTGCACGGACATAAAAGGAGAGGGCTGAGGGGACGGAAGAGGCTCATGAGAGGGAAAAAAAAAAAAAGAAAAAAAAAAAGAAAAAAGCTAATTTTGCCCCCAGTGTTAAACTTTGACGTGTGAAGCATTTCTGTTTCCAAATAATGGGCCCAGCTGCTTAAGAAGGTATTCATACCACCTACTGCCACAGACAGACTCCTAAAATCAGATGCTCTGAGTCTTCTTACAGAGACAGCTATGTCTGCACCGACTATATTAAAGCCTAACCTTAATGTATGTGTCTCCATGAAATACCCACGATTAAGTGCTGTGAATACCGCCTCTCGCCCCCCCATAATCTTTCCTCACCCTTAGAAAAAAGTGCTTTTGCTTTTTCTACCTGATAAATTTGGGCTGCTCGATGCTCTCCCCTAGCCCATGTGTTTGTACTGAGATCTGTCCCGAGGAATTTGCACTTGGTTGGCTGTCAGCTTGTGGTGGATATGGTAAACGCAGAGGGTTATCACGATAACCAACCCCAGTATCAGGCCCAAAATCAGAGGCAGGGTTTCTTCTAACTGCTCCCTCTGGTCCACTGGGCACTTGTGTTCTGCAGGGAAAGAAAGAAAAGGAAAGAGAGAAAAAGAAAAGTGAATAGATATTGCAAATCCGAACTTATGCTGCAACAGCGAACCGACCTCCCCAGAGTCATGGCTCCGTGCCGGGGGTCCCTGCGCAGCCAAAACAGCTGCAGCAGCAAGGAGAGACAGCAACCGTCATCCGAGTCCCAGGGAGAAAATCAATTGCTTTGAAGGAAAGTGAAATCCCAGTCACAACGCAAGGTTTGGAAGGAGAGGTAACATCTATGACAACCAGCTGACGCAGTGGGAAAAAACGCTTTCATGCCCATAAGCTCCTTTTCAGGCCTCTGCCACACCAGTACAGCAGTGGCCTTGTTAGGAAGGGGACAGCAAAAGTACAAGTTTCCTGACCGTGCGTAAAGATCTGCTTTGTTTATTTAGTTATAGAGTCTATAAATATTGTATCAGGAGACCTCAACATCACTAAGTCTTTAATCCTGCATCAGACTTAACCCTGCTCATCGTTAAAAAGATTTTTCCCCTCTATCTGCAAGTTGACCGAGATCTAACAGCGTCTCTCCCCTCTCTCTACGAGCTCTCCATGAGGAGTTTACCAGCACCGGCAGAGCCCATGTGTGTTTGTAGTCAAACAACATCCTGGCACCGCATATTTTTTGTCAAATGTGGCAAAGGATGAGCAGAAGCAACACGAGCCTCCCCAGGGTTTTTCCCTCTGGCCTACGAGTCCCCATTATAACCTAATAAACCACTAGAAAATAACAGTAACCACACAGTGGGAAAACACTTTTCTATTTAGCTTGCAGAGGTACAGTCACCAAGGTTAGGAAATGCGTTATGCTGGTAATCCCAGTTCAGCCCCCTTACACTTCCAGAGCATACTGCAGGCCTGAATGAAAGGATCACAATTTACTTTTTTCCCCACGGGACTGTTCCTTATCTGTGCTGATGGACCAGCAGAGCCGATGCTACCGAGATGGGGCTGCCAGATCAAAAAGAACACCACCAACTCTGGAAAAAAAAAAAAGGTTATAGAGTACAGGAGGGACAGTGCTCTGGCTCCTGGATCATCTTCTTCACAGTACTAGAATTGTGCTGAAAACAATGAAAACAGCAATTACTTTAAAAAAAAATAAATAAAAAAAAAGCAAGTTACATGTTCAATGAGCAGATACAACGGGCACCACTAATTCCTCCCATCACTGAAGACTGTCCAGATGGGTTCCCCAGGCAGCTGATTGCAGGACGCAGAGATCTGCGATAACGATGAACAGCAAATGCAATGCAAATCTAACAGCATGTGGCAAAGAGCAGAAAAAACCCAGAGACCCCCCAGGCCCAGGCAGGTGGTGACAGCAGGGACATATCTCCAGTGGCGCCAGCACCTCCGGGAGCTCCATCACCTCCCAGTGCAGAGCCGTCCTCCCAGCACCAGGCTCACAGAGATGCCATTAGGAAATATTTTGAGCTGTAAATGAAGTGAAACAAAAAAGCAAAAGTGAAATGTAGTCTAACAAAAAAAAAAAAACAACGTCCTTTTCGGTTCCAGTTGCTCACCGTTTCACCAGAGGAGTGATTAATCACCAGGACTGTTATAGGCGATTCAGCAATTGCTGCAATGCAGGGGTTTTGTTTGTTTGCATTAAGGAGAAAGGGAAAAAATATCCTGATTATCATTTAGCTCCAAAAATTGGGTCTCCAGAGCTTTACAAAATTCTTCCCGCTTTCGGATGCTTAGGCCTGACCAGACTCGCAGAGACACCGTGGCAGGCTGGCATCCCCAGACCTGACTGTGGGAAAAGCCACACAGGGGCAGTGCTGTGGGGCCACGGGTGCTCCAACCCCCCGGCACCCCTGCCCACATGCCGGCACACAGCAGCAGCACTCCTGTGGGAAGGATCCATGCTAGATGAGCTCCCGTGCACCCCCCATGCGGCTGCACCAGCCCAACAGGCTGGCGTGTGCCAATTAGCAGTGTTTTAGTCCAGCCGCTGCAATCTCCTCCTGCAGGCACTAATTCCTGCTTTGAAAGTGGTTTAGCTTAAACTCTACAGAAAATTGAAAGCAGCCTGCTGTAAACTCAACCGAGGGTGTTCATTCACCTCTGCTCAAACCCAGCAGGTGTGCCCATGGCTTTTCCTTAAACAAGAACAATGCTGCGTTTGCAAGAGAATAGGGCAAACCTGGGGTGTCTGCAGCCAGGGAAGACCACAAAGCTAAAAGCACCAGCAGTGCCATGCAGAGGACTAACCCAACGGTAAAGCACCTGCTTGCGATATTTGAACTCCCATCTTTTGCCAAACCAAACTGGCTGCAGAGCACAAAATGTGCCAGAGGACGTGGCCAAAACTCCAATGTCCACAGAAAGCCACAGCTGTATTTAAGTGTCTGAGTCACAACTCAAAAGAGGTGTCAATTCTTACAAGCAGCCCAGGAAGATAGTTCTTTACCCTGGCACTTTTTAAAGAGGATTAAAAGAAAAAAAAAAGTTCACATGGGAAAAAAAGGGGGGGGAGGGAAGCAAAGCTCGCAGTCTTTAGCAGCACATCCACAAACTGTGCTGCTCTTCCCACTGTGCCCCGCTGCACCCTGCCCCGGCAGCAAAGGCAGCCCCCAGCAGCTGCCTCCTGCCTTACCAACACCATTGCCTCATCAGACACGTACATTTTCTCCTTTAGGAGCAGTCACCAAAGTCTGGGCTCTTCAGAGAGCGCAGGGGGAATGGGAATGGGGCTGGGGGGAGCCAGCATGGAGGCACAGGCAAGTGCTAAGCACAAATACGTCTGCAGCAGAAGTAAGGCTTTCCAGATGCTGACTGCTAGAAAGATGAATTTTGTATTTTAACATTAATATCATGTTAAAATACATCATTTTACAACAAATAAAATGTTTTCGCACATTTATAACAACGTACTTTAACATTTACGCAGCATTTTTCACCCCAAGAGTTCAAAGCATTGCATAGGCACTGAGGCCCACACCACCGTGGGGCAGTAGGTAACAGGTATCATTCCTGGTCTATCAGCAAAGGGGAAGTGGGAGGAGAGAGGGGTTCGCATAAAGTCCACGGCAGATGCAAATTCACTCAACCCCGTCAGGCACAGTGCAGGCAGGCAGGCTGGTTGATGCATGGCAAACGACACACCGCCACATAGGGAACTCCTATTATTTCAAATCAACACCTTCTGGGGGAAAAGAGCCCTTTCCATCAGATTTTCCCAAGTATTTTGCTTCAGGTCCCACAGCTCTCAGCACTTACCCAAATCGCTGGGTTCTACCCTCAGTCCAGGAAAGCAAAAAGGTCCCTGCAAATTTTAACTACGTGAAAAGTTCGGGTGACCCCAGTAGTTTTGCTGCATCCCAAACCCTGCGGGGTCATCCCTCTGCTGTAGAGGCACGGAGCCCGGCTTGTTCGACCCCACAGCCCCCATCCCATTGAACAAAGGACTGCGGCGGACACAAAGGAGGCATTTAGGTACGTTCCTCATTGTTCTTTTCTGCTGCGGTTCCTCTGACACCACGCAGCACCCAGGCTCACGTACCGCCGGTTTCTATGGTGAGTGCTCGTCCAATTTCAGTACTAGGCGAGGAAACCACCCAACAGGCCCATTTTCTTGTTTCAGCATCCTTCTGCAGAACAAATAGCAGCACGGCAAAAAAAACCAGCGGTTTCCCGCAGTCACGACTGCAAGGCTGAGGACCAGTGCAGGAGTTGTTTGAAGGGACAGAAAAACAACCCAGTTGTGTCTGGCAGAAGAGGATGGATTTTTGAGATTTTGAGATGGGTGTTTATAAGTGATTAGCTTAAAAAAAACAGACTGGGTGCTTTTTTTAAAATGTGGCTGCATACCTCGCAAAAAGGAACTACTTGGTGCCAAGGACGCTTAAGAAAATGTGATCCTTGCTTGGGGTGGCTCCGAGGGAGGTGAGACCTCCCAGGATCGTGGTCCCTAATTCTCAGCTTTTGCATCCCTTTATATTAGTATTTTGCATTATTGTGATTAAAATCAAGAGAGCTGACAATTTCTGTGGGGTTCTTTCGCCAATTTAAATGTTCTCCTCACACCTCTTGATCCAGCTCTCTTTTTACTGACCTTTTAAGCGGAAAAATGTACACACATTTTTCCCCAATTTAAAAAAATATAATTTCCCAAACTCTGAATGAAAAAAAAATCTGCTGCTTCTGTATTGAAAAAGGTAAATACATATGTTTATGTAAATTTATATATAAATGTATATGTGTGTATTTGTGAGGGTTAGAAGCAGTGTCTTAAAAAAGAAAAAATAAGAAAAAAAGAAAAAATGTATTCTAGCACATGAGTTTAGGCATTCAAAAACATAAAAGCAATTCAATCACTCCCTACAAGCTTTTTAATCTACCCCAGACAGGGCAGTGTCAGGACTAATGACAAAACCTTTCCCCCCATTTCTTTATGGTAAAAGGGCCCTGACCCTCCTGCATCTTGACAATTCTGCTCTAGCAGGTCTCTTTCTCTATTCTGAAGTATTTTAAAGTGTTCTGTAGCTTGTTCATAATTAATAGGAATTTTACCTAATGGGAAATTAATGAACCAAAAAGGAGAAGGCTAATTACTGTAATTTAAGATTGGCAGTGATTATCAGACTCCACAAAGGATCATGTTTTGCCATGCATGTGCCGAGGACACTCTGGTCCACAGGGCTGGTGGGGATGTGCTGCTGGGAGAAGCAGCAGAGCCCCCTGTGAAGGTCCATTGATAAATGACCTCTCAGGCATTTCTGACCATCCTCTCCAGGTGCTCTTTGCTATTTAACTTTCAGTAGAATTCAACAAAAACAAGTATCATTGAATAACAAGAGCAACAACAAAAAAAAAGAGAAAGCTTGACAAAGAGACAAACTGTGCTTTAGTCAGAAGGATGAATTCCCCACACATGTTTAAAGATTGCTAAACCAACTGCAGTTTCCTCGTGTCCTGGAGAAAAAAAATAACAAAAAAAACCCTAACCAAACTACAACAACAAAGGAAAAAAACAAACCAAAACAAATTCACTGTCTGATATGAAATGCCGTATCATGAAAAAGGCAATGAACCCCGAATTCGGTTGTTTCAACTGTTAGCTCTCGGACTTGACAAGTTTGGTATGACACAGAGACACAGCAGCTAAAACTGAGTCCAGACTTGCATATTTTAAATATGCTTTTCTGAGCCTCCAAGGTCTGCCCGGCCAAACCCTGAGTGCAGGAAGCCTGGATCCACAGGAAGAGGGAGAAGATCAAAATGTACCAACAAAAAATGATAGGAAACTATTAAAGTCTACCTTTTTCTCCCTGTAACCTACGCAAAACGTGGTACTACTTCGATAGAAAAAAAAATAAAATTACTTGTGCCCACAGATAAAACCTACTCCCTACTACACTGGCCTTGCTGTGAGTAATTCAGCCATACAGAGCTCTGCCAGAGCCAGTGTACATAATAGCATGTATTTACTACATCAGTCAGAGCAATGTGAGTCATGAGTATAAGTGCTTGGCTCTGTAGTCCGTGCTCGTTTTTTATTGTGTTCTAAAATATTTCCCACACACAAATTAATAAAGCCCCACATTTTTAATGATGGACTTGAAAATAACACCACCATTTTCTAGCTCGCTATGAAAAGATTTAGCTATTACTAATTTTCTTTGCATCTTGTTACAATAATGGAGTTAACTAATTTGCTAAGATGGCACTACAGAAAGGGGACTAGTCTCAAAGCCCTAATTCAGGTGAACATGTTTACATTCCCCCATTCAACCTTTTGGAAAAGGCAGGGGGAAGTCACGGAGGAGGGGCACCACAGGTTCTTCAGGATAAAGGAAGGCAAAATCTACAGGAATTCTGCCCCATGACAGTATTGCTGCTGACTTCAGTATAACCCTTTGATACGAACAGCACATGTTAACTCATATTTTCTTTTATCCACAATTAACGTTAAAGAAACCTAAGAAGAGGAACAGTGTCCCATGCATCTGGTGCAGGAGGCACCTCGCTTAAGTCCCCGTTGTGTTTCTTTTATCCTTGCAACACGCGTTCATCAAACCGAAGCCAGCAACATGCACTACAAGTATTACCTCCCACCGCAGCCCCAAGCCTTCCTCAGTGTGCAGTGGCCCTAAAAAGCCCCTGGAGCTGTACCAAAGCATGTACCGTGCTGCAGAGCAGCCACCTAAGCTCTGCAAGGCTCCCCAGGGACCAGACAGTTCTGGGGCTTGCTGGCAACCTAGCCAGATACGTCCTTACAGAAGCCAGTGTACCTCCAACGACAGCCCATGTTTTGACCAAACAACAGCTAGGATGAATTTGTGAAGGCTTTTGGGGGACCACGGAGGCAGGGAATGGGTTGGAGGGACTGCAGGGAGCACTGACAACCTGCTGGAGGGAGGGGAAGGTGCTCTGATAAAGGTGGGACCCAAATTCCTTCAGTATATCACGACACCCCCAAAGGCTGTCACAGCAGCATCAGCATCTCAGGGATAGAGGGCATGCCTTCCCCCTGCACCTTACCTTCACTGAAGACAAAATCTGCAGTGATGTCAAAGGGCTGGATGCGCACTTCTGACAGCAAGAGCTGCACAGACTTCTGGTGGTCGCTGGAGATGAGGGAGATGGTCTGCTGTGCCTGGCACTCATAGGACTTCCCAGCTGGGGTGACCAGGGCAGAGAGCCGGTGTGAGCTGGCCGTGTGCTTCCCGGCTGACAAGGGGCAGAAACAGCAGAGGTCAGGTCCCATCTCTGGGGGACCGACGTGACTTTATTAACAAAGCTAATGAACTGAACACAAGGGTATGCAGGCGCCATGCAATGCGGTGGCTGCACGCTCCACTGCTCTTAAAGCAGCATTCTCTCCTGAGGTGGGACAATGCTTTCGGTATGACATCGCCACATAGCCAAGGCGGTTCCCACACTGGGGTCACCTGCTTGTGAGCAAGAACGGATGGCTGCAAGGAGTAGCTGCCAGCTATGTTCATGTCACAGGACTTGAAGTCCATAAAGTCAGAGGAATGGTGTCTGTTGATGTGTATGCAGGTTCCAGCCTTAGACCGTGCTCGTACTCCCTGTGTTCGGGAAACAGCAATTCCTGTGGGGGCACCTGCGCTCTGAATTCAGGTGGGAAGGAGCAATGCAATTTGGGGACCTCATTAGGAAGCAAAACAGGCTGTAACAACTTTCCTGAAAATAAAATATGATCATTTCACCCAAGTATAGATTACGAGAAAATATTTTCCCATCACATAAATGAAGCCCGAATGCAGCTCAACAAGGTGGAATGAGGGATGCCTTCCACCTCTCGCTTTTCTGCAGCCCTTTGTTCCCCTCCAGCAGCACAGAAAGGCAATCAGCATTTCGCATTTGCGGAGGGTGATGAGGCATGGCCACCACCGTGTTTTGGGGACACGAACAGTAGAAACACCAGTGGGAAAAACATCTCCGTGTCCAGCGTGTCTTATGCCACAAACTCTTAACGCACCATTTACTGGAGCCTGAAAATCTTGCAGGAAAACAACTTGCAAATGACAGTATTTCAATTTGCAATACGAGACAACTCATTTCTGAGCACAAACGAGACAAAAACAAAACTAAAACCAAAAGAAAGGAAACCCAGTGGGGAAAGAGGCGGCTGTTGGGTATGGAGGCGTGTAGGGGTATGGATATTGATGTCAATCTCATCACTATCTTGGGAAACTGCTGCTTTCCCACCCATTCAACCATCATCAGAATCGAGGAGATAGTTAACCTTAAAAAACACCTCCGGCTGGAAAGGAGACAAAGTTTTCCAGACCAGGCAGACCCCTGCCCCACTGCCCACCCCCTCAGCCCCCTGGGTCCCACCGGGAGAGCCCGGGACAGCTCAGCAAAGGGCAGAGGTTGGGCTCCCCCTCCCGCCGCAACTGAGGTGATTAAAAACAAGACAAAAGAATAAAAAGGGG